AAACTCTGATTGGCAGTGCCCGTTATACTTTGGAAGGACTCTATTGTTTTCCCAGGACTAGAGAATTCCACCCCACCCCCCGTTGTTCTGAAGTTTGGTAAACATTTTGATTGAGCAGTGACAGTCTGTCTGGAAATGTATCCATTCACAAAGTGCCACAAACTGCCACGAACCACTTCAAAGTTCATGGAAAGTTCATTTTGGTCCACCTGCCATGAACTTCAGTTCACGAACCACGAATTGGCAAAAATTCATCACAAACTTTAGTTCGTGAGCTGACTCTTGCCCATCCCTAGACACCACATCATTATGAATCCCAAAAGGCATTCTCAATTAATGTTCTTAAGTCCTACTATGGTTGCCAACTGTGGCTTTGGAAATTTCTGGAGATTTGGGACTGGTGGCTGGGGTGGGAGAAATATGGGGATGAAAGGGAGTGCATTGGTGATGGTATGCCATAGAATTTACCCTCCAAAGATGCCATTTCCTCCAGAGGAACAGATCTCTGTAGTCTGCAGATCAGTTGTAATCCCAGGAGAACTCCAGGTGCAAGGTACCTCTTGGCTGCCATAACAATCAGGGAGCAAAAGTCTAGATTTTCCATGTGATGCTTGATGGTTTTTATAATTGAAATTCTCTGTAAATTGGCCATGTTGTACCTTTTTTCTCTTTTTATGCCAATAAAGGTATTTGGATTGGATTGGGGGTTGACTGCTCTGGTCCTAGCTGCTGAAACCTCTTCCATTCTTGATAGGGTTGCCAAGTCCGGACTTACCTGCCGGCGGGGGACTTTGGCTTTGCTCCCGGCGTGTTTTCCCCTCAAATGGCTGTGCCCCACCCCCAGCGTGCCCAGTGTCATGACATCACTTCCCTGTGACGTGGACGCGGGGGTGGGTTTTCCCCCGGGGCCCGATTCCATGGGGGTGGAAATCGGGCCTATAAAGTGGGGGGAAATCTGCCCCCTGGGGGGATTTGGCAGCCCTAATTCTGGATCAGGTCATCTTCTCTGGTCCTCCTAGCTCACTGGTCTGCTGGGTCTTTCATTCTGGGTATGATATCTCTATATTGAGCAGAAGTCACAACAATGAGGATTTTAAAACACTTAATGGCTCCTCTTCTTCAAAATGGCATGCACCTAATTGGTGGTTGTCATGGATAGAATACAGGTAGGGTTGCCATCTCCAAGTTAAGAAACTCCTGGAGACTAGGGGGTGGAGCCTGGAGAGCCTGGGCTTTGAGTGGAGGGAGCTCTGGGGGAATGTGATGACACACAGTTCATTCACTGAAGCAGCCATTTTCTCCAAGGGAACTGATCTCTCTAGTCTGAAAATCAGTTGCAGTTCTGGGAGATCTCCAGGGCCCACCTAGAAATTGGCTTGCAGGGCTTATTAAAGTGTTTGTTTGGTTTTGCTTTGTCTGGATTGGTATGGGAAGCTCCTTAGGAGAGTTCTTTTAAGAAATCAACATGATGTGTGCATGTACCTGGGTGCAGGCAAGTGAAGTTATTAGTCCGGAACATGCACCAGACACGATGAATGCTGCACACTTCATGGGTACAAAATCAGTACATACCCTCAATATCCAGGCAATTTAAGTGATTCCTGCTAGCTAGGCTTGCCAACCTTGAGGTGAGGCCTGGAGATCTGGAATTACAACCAGTGTTCCCTCTAAGCTGAGTTAGTGTGAGCTAGCTCACAGTTTTTTAGCCTCCGGCTCACACATTTTTGCCTTAGCTCAGGAAGGATGGCTCCAGAGCAAACTAATTTGTGCAGTAGCCAAATTGTTTGCTCAGAACTTTAATGCCAGTAACTCACAAAGTAGAATTTTTGCTCACAAGACTCCACAGCTCAGAGGGAACATTGATTACAACTGATCTTTAGACTACAAAGATCAGCTCTCCTGGCGAAAAAGGCTGTTTTGGAGGATGGACGCTATGGTATTGTACCTTGCTTACATCCCTCCTTTCCCAAGACAAAACACTGAAGAAACTTTAGGGAAACCAAAAGCAGTTTGATGAGACTATGAACATTTTGTCCTAGGTGGCAACTGGGGATCCCCCGTAGTTACAGCTCATCTCCAGACTATGGAGATCAGTTCCCCTGGAGAAAATGGATGCTTTGGCCCACATGATTTCATTCTCTGGAGGGTGGACTGGACTCTATGTCATTGTACCCCAATAAGGCTTGGAAATTTCCCAGGCTTGGAAATTTAGCCATTAGTATTTAGGGGAATTGCCCAGTCGGTCTGCATACCTGTTGTATCAACTTGGTTGTGTATGTTACATTATTATATGCTTCCTGTGTGTAACTCTGCCGTATGATAATTTAATAAATAAATCCACCCCCAAATCTCCAGGCGCTTCCTAATCTGGATCTAGCAACCCTACATCCCTGTGTCTCTGGGAGAGGGAATATGGCTACCCAAGGCTGTTGCCAGGTTTTGACTGTAGAGAAATTCAAAATTAATTTAAGGATCCTTTATAGCCTGAAAATATGAGGAAATTGGAGGGGAAGCCCCTGTTGGAGTTTAAGTAATGCTACTGAAATTTGTCATGGGGATTTTATACATTTGGAATTAATGCTGATTGTGTAATGCTGTTTCAATGCAATCCTAAATGGTGCGATCCTAAGTGCAGATACACCCTTCCAAGTCAATTGAAGTCAATGGGGTATGACTCTGTTTAGGACTGTATCACCAAGCATTAAGCTTTACCAAGTGAAAAGGTAGAGCTTAGTTTTTTTAAAAAAAATGCATAAGAACCCTCACCTCATATTTCTCCCAGCCTTATTATGATAGCAATGATTTACTAGCAGTATGCCAAACTTCATTTCCACTTATGCCTTCAATTAGCATCATGCTAGAGGAAAAAAATGTACAAGGGTTTTTTAATTAACCGAATCTTTGAGTTTCAAAGATTTCAGGTGCATGCAAAACACAGTTCTGAGGGAAAGCTAATTTGCTTACCTTTTCTTGTCAAAGATTTAAATTGGGCCCAAGTGCCTTAATTAAAATCGAAGGGGAAAAATTAATAATCAATTCTGCACACAATCCAGTAACATTTATCTTGATTGAGTAACTGAAAGTGTAGCTGTTGTTCAGATGTTGGATAATTGGGGAATAAAAACAGCCTGCCTTTGGATTACTATGCATTGAGAGAGCAGCTCCTTGGCCATGGATAGCATTTATTGCCTGAGAACATGAAAATCCTTGCTTGGTCTCTGGAAAGAAATTATTGTAGCTGTAGAGATGAAGCCTTTTCACACTGAAGATATAAAGGTTACCACTAATGTCATGTGTGTACTTCAAAAGAATGGTATAAATTCATCCTGTTTGGTATCTTCTTAAGGGTCTAGCCTATTTACTGTGTACTTATTTTGTTTTTGTTTATTTTATTCGATTTTTATACCACCCCTCCTCCAAACTGGGCCTCGGGAGGCTAACAACATAGCACTACAATAACAAAATAATTTCAATGAATTCAAATTAAAAACTCAGCACACAGCAAACTAACGCTTTTGGCATAGGAATCAGCAGCACTGATGATAGAGTCCACCAAAATTACATTAGTGGAATGCCTGGTAGAACAACTATGTCTTGCATGCCCTGCAGAATGCGGACAAGTCCCACAGGGCACAAGTCTCCTCAGGCAAAGCATTCCATGAAGTCAGGGCCATGGTGGAAAAGGCCCTTGCCCTTGTCACGCTCAGATGGGTGAATCAAAGGCCAGACAGTACCAAACGCCCACACGAGGCAGAATGAAGACGATAGTTTTCACAGTCTAAATGCAGAATGGCATGGATATGGCCAGGAATATAGGGGAACAGTTGCTGATTTTGACTAAAAAGATCATGGAGGATGCTTCTGCAGTCCAGAAGCAGGGGTTATCCTGGTCTCTCAGCTAAAACCATCGAAATAGAGAATCCAGAGACCAAGAATGGAACAGCATTATAGAGGGGTAAGAAACAAAGGAGTAACAGGATGATAAGGGTTTTAGGAGACTAGAAACAATCTAACTTGCATCAATGGATAATACGAACTGAGCCCACATGTAAGAAGTACCTGAGAATGGCAAGAATGTCCAACTAAATACAGAAGTGAAGATACAGTTCAAATATGGGGTGTATTTATTGAGGCCCAAAAGTCAGTCAGTTAGTCAGTCAGTCTCTCTCTCTCTCTCTGTATATGTACACACACTTCTAATCACTATGTTTTATATTCTAGGTAAAGGTTCCCTTGCTCGAGAGCCAGTTGAATCCGACTCTAGAGCCAGTGCTCTAGGGTTGAATCCGACTCTAGAGCCAGCGCTGTCCGAAGACGTTTCCGTGGTCATGTGGCCGGCATGACTAAACACCAAGGTGCACGGAACGCTGCTACCTTCCCACTGAAGTGGTACCTATTTATCTACTTGCAATTTCTTGCTTTCGAACTGCTAGGTTGGCAGGAGCTGGAACCAGAGACAGGAGCTCACTTTGTCATGCGGCACTCGGGTCTCGAACTGCTGAACTACCGACCGTCCACGGCCTGCAGTTTAGTGTCTTAACCACTTGAGCCACCGCAGCTATTTCTAGATTATTCTATTTTATTCTAGATTATTCTAGATTATGATTAAAACTAGAGAGAATAAATTGACACAGTATTTATACATTTCAAAAAGATATTAAGTATAGATGACTTTGTATGTTGTTTGAAGCTATAAGACAATTACTTAGCCAAGAATATGTGTCCATATTAAGTGGGACAGCTAATGATGTGACAACCAACTTTCCTGTGTTGCATCATCATCCATCCTCCCACTGTCTAATATAAGTATCTCCCTGTATTATAAAAGCCTTTTGGAGGTGGCACTCTCTAGAACATTTGACACGCTCCGGAATTGGTTGGCATCCTGGAGTGTCACTCACAGGGTGTCTGTCTCGACTGGCTGCATTGCTGCCTCCCTTGCCATGGTCCCGCCCACAGAGGCAGCACCCGACATCATGGCCTCACTCTCCTTGTGGCAGATGGACAGGAGAGATGCTCTGGTGGCCGGGGACTGGAGCCCGATCGTGCCGCTGCCGTGGTCATCCTTGCCCCAGCGGAAGTCGCCGCCCGCCAAGCGTGCAGCCAGACGACAGATGGTACAGGCACTCCAGTGGAGGGAGGGGGCCAGAACAAGCCTGCCGCCGTCACCCAAGCCCAGCCACAAATGGCCAACCTGGCATCCGCTGAGGCAGCCCGGCAGCCCCCACCTCACCTCTCCCTGCTTGCCCCCCGCAGGGATGGGCCTCTGGAGGCCCCCCCACTAGCTTTCCCCACTTACCCGCAGAACTGCCTGGATGGCAACAGGCCTCTGGAGGCCCCCGCACCACCTCTTCCCGCTTGCCCGTTGAGCCGGACGGAAGGCCTCCAGGGGCCCCGCGCCACCTCTCCCCACTTGCCTACCGAGTAGGACGGGGGGAGGCCTCCGGAGTCCCCCGCACCACCTCTCCCCAGTCGCCCGCTGAGCCGCCCGGGTGGGGAAAGGCCTCCAGAGGCCCCTGTACCAGCTTTCCCCGCTCTCCCGCTGAGCCACCTGGGCGGAGAAAGGCTTCCGGAGGGCCCCGTACCAGCTTTCCCCACTTGCCCGCTGAGCCGCCTGGGAAAGCTACCCGGAGGCCCCCACGCGGGGGAGCAGACAAGGCCTGGTGCCCTGGCTCGCTGGGGCCTCCGTTGGCAGTGGGGTTCAGGGAGGGGCTGTGGCCAGGCAGCCTGGCCCCCTGGGATCTTAAGCACCAGAGGGGAAGACACGAGGGGAGCCACCACCAGTCAGCCTGCCTAGTGTTCGTTGTCCTTATTGCCATAACAAGCCTTCTTCCTAGTGTGATAGTAATGGGGATTACTCTATGCAATTTGTTTCCAGAATGTGGATGTACACACCAATAAATCTACAATTTATTTTCACGTTGCTTACAAAGGTAAATTTTTATACTTTTCTAAAAGGTTATTTTCTACTTTTTTATTTTCTTCTTACTTTGTTTATTTGTATGTTTTGAATTAATTAAAAATAGATATTTGGACCAAGAACAACCACAATCTGAAAAATGATTTTGAAAGACCTAATTTATTCCAATAATGAATCGTGACTAGTTAATGAATTGGCCCTACTTCTTGTAAGCAGTGTTCCCTCTAAGCTGAGTTAGTGTCAGCTAGCTCACAGTTTTTTAGCCTCCAACTCACACATTTTTGTCTTAGCTCAGGAAAGATGGCTCCAGAGCAAACTAATTTATGCAGTAGCCAAATCGCTTGCTCACAACTTTAATGGCGATAGCTTAGAAAGTAGAATTTTTGCTTACAAGACTCCACAGCTTAGAGGGAGCATTGCTTAATAATTATTGAAATTACATTTTTAAATTTTATAAATGACTGTCACAATAATGATTTTAAGTGATCCTTTTCCTTCTTCCCATTTTTTTCTTTTTCAGGACAGAAATGTTTTTTGTATAGTTTTATTTTATGGTGTGAATTTAACTATTTGTACCACTGAGGAAGGCCCTGTGGCCGAAATGCGTTTGATTTTAATGAATTTTTAAATTATTGGTTATGCATTGAAGTTTTGTTAATTTAACATATGCAACCATTCATATTTATCCAGATATTAGGCTTTTGGTCAACTTTCTTGGTTACCTCCATATTAAGTGAGACAACTAGGTGTTGTTGAAAGATGACTTTGGAAACCTATAAAGATGAGAAACTGAGTTGATTTGGATAGCTTCTTTGAAGATGCTTCTCGCTTGTGACCCGTTTACTTTTGGTTACAAAATAATGTACTCAAGTAATCACTTGCCTTTAATTATCTGTCTAAAATCAATGGATGGTATCATCACAGTCTTTTAAGCTTCCTGCAAAATCATTCATTCTGCAAATAACAAGCTGAAGTTTGTTACAATGTGTCAGTAAAATTAATAAGTTAATCAATGTTAAAAATCTAATATGTTTCAATAAAAACATAACATGGAAGCAAATATTTATTTGTAATAATTTTTACTTGTGTAGTACACTCCAAACACACCAAGAACATTGTTGAGCGTATCTCTTGCAAGGAGATTCATGATCTGATACAGGAAAGCTGACTAGAAGCCTTTTTGGGGGGGCCATCAAGTTACGGTGACCCCCGTAGAGTTTTCAAGGCAGGAGACATTCAGAGAGGTGGTTTGTCATTGCCATTGCCTCTGCATAGCAACCCTGGACTTTCTTAGTGGTCTCTCATTCAAATATTGACCAGGATGGAACCTCCTTAACTTCCAAGATCTGACAAGATCAGGCTAGCCTGGGTAGCATTGCCAGGTGCCTTCTGGCAGCTGGTGGAGGATGAAGAGTGAGCTTACGGGGAGCAGGCAGTTTCATCTGATGTTTCAGCGACGTGCCCATGTGACTTCCAATGTGACTTGGAAGTGATATAGGCATGTCGGGGATGCTAGAATGATGCTCTGGTTTTTGGGCAAAAACTCTATGGTAGAATTAGCTTCTACCATAGAGTTTCCCCCCAAAACCAGAGCATCGCCCTGATGTCCTCACATCACATCTGGGTTATGTTGAAGTCATGTAAGCATGTTGTTAAAACATCAGGTGTCCTTCCCTTTTTATTTGCAGTAAATCTCTCCCCCCAGCTAGCTGATTGGCAATGAAGAGGTGGGCCTGGGAGTGGGGGACCTCGCCCCCATCGGCCAGGTCTCGCTTCCCTAAGCCTGGTCTACTAGGTCATGGTGACTAGAAGCCTAGGACTTATTAATTGCATGTCTGTATCTGATTCAGGCCTGCCCAGAGTCATCCAGAAAAAGAGTGTCAGGATTCCAGTGCTTTTGTGAATAGAAGTTTGTTTAAAACTGAGCACCTGAAATGGCCCCTTAAATCTCTTTGTGATGTTCATATGTAGGACCTTGATGAATAGTCACCTATTTAAATTTTAGGATTGAAACTAGAGCTTGCAGGGGAACAGACAATTCTCCCCCCCAAACTACTTAGAGTTGTATAAATATTCACCTTGTCTTCAATACTTTGGTACTGATGCTGCCTTCCTGAAATAGCCAAATCATTTGTCTCATTCAGTCAGGGATCACATAGTGAACAGAATTGTATTAAGATGCTGGATCTGGTGGGACATCATCCCCAGGGGCAGAAAATGAAATTGTGTAGGCAATTCAACCAATAAAATTAGGTTACATAGTGCCATTGGGGTCAAATCAGGGCAGCGACAGAGAATGTCTACGAGGACAATTTAAACGAACAAGAGCCAAACATCACTGGAAAAGAGAGGTGTTTCTCTGCAGTACTGAAAATGTTCTTGAAAAATGGTGACTCATTTCAGTTCGGTTCTATTTGTGTTCCACTTACATCTCAGGTTTTGATTAAAAAGAAAAAATATGGCTCTGGAGGCAAGCACAGTTCCTGAGGAATGCTTAGAAGCCAAGCAGAGTTGCAGTGTGCACTTGTGTATGTGAAAGAGTAGTACTGCCAGGTCAGGGACTGTATGTTCAACATCGGAAGATCAGATCAAACATCCCTCTAATCCAATCTGCTGTCACCCAGAATGGCCAACCGGATATCCCTTGGAAGCCCACAAGCTCTCCCCTGCTTCTGCTCTCCCACTCGACACCTTGTATTAATGAACCTATAACATACAAGTTTACAAATCCCATTTACCTATCAGCACTAACATCCATGGCCATCTTACATGAATAAGCCTAATCCCCTCTTAAAGCCAGCTATGCCATTGACAAATTTTGCATCGTGTAGCAATGTTTATTTTTTCCCCTCTCTTGAATTAATGGCTAACCAATTTTACTGGATGGCCCCGAATTACAGAATACGGGGGGAGAAGCTGAAAGGATTCCTCTATACCAGGCATAAGAATGTGTCCTTTGGCTATCTTTCCCCCCTAAAGTGGGAAAACAACCCTAAACTCTCTAGACTTTCATCACAGGATAGCTGCTTGGGCCGGCCCAAGGAGGGGATGCCCAGTGGAAGAGCTCCGTCTTGCAGGCTCTGTGGAATTGTAATAAATCCCACAGGGCCCTGATCTCACATGAGAGCTCATTCCACCAGGCAGGGGTCAGGGCTGAAAAAACCCTGGCCCTGGTCGAGGCCAGTCAGACATCCCTGGGGCCAGGGACCACTAAAAGATGTTGGTTGGTGTCGGGCTATTAATAATCTAGCTGCCGTTATAACATAACTGATAATATACGCATCCTGTTTATCATACCCGTTCGGGATCATGTTCAGCAAATATATTTCCGGCTTCAGGGCCACATTTTTGCCCAGACTTTCTTGGAGCACCTCCTTTACTATTTTCCAGAATTTTTGTATCTTACTACACTCCCACCACATGTGGTAAAAGGTTCCTTTACGAACTTTGAATTTCCAACACTTATTTGAGTACCCCTTGTAGCATTTGGCCAGCTTGTCGGGGGCCCAATGCCATCTATGGAACATCTTATAAATATTTTCTTTATATGCTACCGCTTTCATGTATTTAACTGATTTCCACATGTTAGACCATTGCTCTTCATCAATTTCTCCTATATCTTTTATCCAGGTGATCATTACAGTTTTAACATCTTCATCTTTTACAAAATCCATTAATAAGAAGTTATACAGTTTCTGGACTAATTTATCATTTGAGGACAACCAAATTTTGTCCAGTTCGTTGTTTTGGTCCTCAAAGCCTCTTATCATGTCTTTTTTGTATCTATCTCTTAATGTCATCTGCTCCCATCACGACAGATTATTCTCCTGTCTCAGTTTTTCTTCTGCTTTTAACTCATTTTTTTTATTTAATAGGGTTTGGTAGCTTTCTCTTAAGTTCATGGAAAGTAGATTCTATACCTACAAGGGAAGATTTGTTAAATAAAATATTGGAAGTAGCCAGAATGGATGATTTAAGTCTAAGGATACAAAATAAAAATGAGATGGTACATAAAAAGAGATGGGATAGAATATATAAATGGATAGAAGACCAGATAGAACTGTAACTGAAAAGTTATATTATGGCTTTGTATCAGAAAAGGAATATCAATGCTCGGTAATGTAAATAACTAAAGTGAAATGACTCTGACGTGTAATGCAACGCAAACTGATGAAAAGTAATTGTGTAATACCCTTTGTTTAAAACAATAAAAACTTTAAATACAAAAAAAAATGTTGGTTGGTGGACCTTAATGCCCTACGGGGCTCATATGGGGAGAGGAGGTCTTGAAGGTATGCTGGCCCCCTGGCACCTTGAAATGGATCTGGAATTTGATAGACAGCCAGTGCAGTTTAAACTGCACTGGGCAGATGTGTGCCCACACAGGTGTTGCCATCAGCACCCGTGCTGCTGCATTCTGCACTAGCTGCAACTTCCAAGAGGAGAAGACCCCCACGGGGGGGGGGAGGTGCCTATTGCTTTAAATGCTATATCTGTGATCAGACATCAGGACACTTTCTAAATTTAAACATCCTTGGTTCGGTTGAATTAGTCAAAGCCAATTCATTCAAAAGCTGTAGTTTATTTTTTTTATTTGACAAAAAGAGACCAATATTATGTGCTGTACTGTCAAAATGTCAGACTATAAAAGGCAGAATTTTAGGGATATAACAACAACAAACAATACATATATCAAATGAACTCGAGAAAGCGAAAGAATACAATGTTTTTGGTGTTTCATTTTTTTAAAGCAATCTTCTCAAGTAGCAGAGCCTCTTTGAAATCATGGATCTGTTTCAGGGTTCTTGGAAAATGGTATTTGTACAATGGCGTTGATACTCGGTGAATCAAACAGAAAAGTGAGAGAACTGATTAATAGCTCCCAGAGGTCATTTCGGGGGGGATCGCGGGGGAACGCAGTTCCCTCGGGTGAGGTGAGAGGGGGTGGGGCACATGACGAAGCCCCACCCCCTGATTCCAGTCGCCCCGCTTCCGACCCTCATTCAGCCAGGAGGAGGCAGGAGAAGAGGGAGGGTAAGTTGCTTCCTCCCCGCCTCTCCCCACCCCTGCCTGCCTGGGGCCAGGGAGGGCCTTGGCGGGGGCTTCCTCTCACTCCCGCCGGGCTTGCAGGTCCACCGCCAGGCCCCTAATGTCAGGGGGTGTGGCATATGCTAATGAGTTATGCTAATGAGTTCCCCTAGCTCTTTTTCTACGAAACGACCCCTGATAGCTCCCATGGAGATGGCAAAGGGCAGCGTGCTCTTATGCAGCAGTTCCCATTCATTTCAATGGGGTCTGGGATTCTGACGGATTGTGTCCAGGCCAGAAGGGTAGAAGCTATTACAGTGTGGGGAAAAAGGTAAGGAAAAACAGAATACTGGCATACAGCCTCCCCCTCCCTCTACAGCCCCTGCTTATCTCTGCCTTAAGGAGTCTCACAGTGGTTTACAAGCACATTCCCTTCCTCTCCCCACAACAGGCACTTTGTGAGGTAGGTGCCTCCTATCCTGTTCCCGTGAGACAGGGAACCCCAGAAATAGTTTGGGAGAGAGCAGGAGATCGACTGTGGAAGGAGGGAATCTGTGAAAATGGTTCCCCTTTGTGCATGTAGAAATTTTAGGTAGGACCAGCCTGATCTCTTTGCCAAAAACATGGCTGAATTTGGTCATGGAGAAACTGGTCAAGACAAAGGGAGCCTTCAGAATGCCTTGGAGACAGGGTTGTCAGTAGACTGGAAACTGGAATTCGACTCAGGCTATTCTATACTCCTGAGCCAATGTGGTGTGGCATTTAGAATGTCAGACTCTGGTTGTTGTGAGGATAAAATGGAGGTGAGGAAGCCATTTTGTATTCCAACTAGAGATAAAACAGGGGTATAAATAAAGTAAATAAATAAATGATCATCCCAGGCCAATTTAATGTTGTGTTTATCTACAAATGTCACTATAATAGTTAGTAGCAGAGCAATGGGCAGGTTAGTAAAGTTTGTTCCATTTTTTAAAAGTTTCTGACATTCTCTGCAGCTAATTTATCCCATGTTTTAGTATTCCACAGTCTCTGGTCTCACTTCCTTTTTAAAAATTCTGAATATTTTACAGCAACATCCAGTTCCTTCTGTTATTTTGTGTCCCCCCCCCCACATTATGATGTGCTTGTATGCATTGATAAAACACTTTGAAAGAACATGTGATTGTGCATATGGCTGAATCAAAATGCTTTCCATATGGTGTTCATCTGTGCAGTGAAAAAAAATCTCATGCTATCATATACAGGATCCCATAATAAGTGCATTTTTCAGAGTTTTATCACTACTCATACGTGTATCAGTAATTTTAGGGAGGCAGGGGAATTGCGAATGAGTAGATGAAATGGAAAAGTTGCAGTCAACTGGCCATGCACCAGTTTCAGAATTTATTTTCGAAAATCTGGTGACACCTGAATTAAAGAGAAATGGAATGCAAAGTAGAGTGAACTTCTCAGCCAATAAAGGAACACAATGAGTGACATACTCTCATCCCTACAAAGAGATCACTCATGAGAGGGAGGGCAGGGAGGGTTGCATCAGTGCTTAGTTCTTGTGGCCCTTTCTTATACACCCGGGGAAATGCTGATTGACACTTCGGAGTCAGGAAGCAATTTTTGTCCAGGCCAGTTTGGCTGGAGATCCTGGAGGTTTTTTGTCCTCTTCTGGGCATGGAACAGCAGACCCTGGTGGTGTGGAGGGGGAGGTAGTTGTGAATTTCCTGCATTGTGCAGGGGGTTGGACGAGATGACCCTGGAGGTCCCTTCCAACTCTATGGATGCGTTCAGACGCGGCGTTTCAGCTGGCATAAACTGTACTGGTTGGAACCGGTGCAGTTTATGCCAGCTGAAACGCGATCACACTCACTTCCATTTTGCGGATCCCATCGCTGTATGCCCGCTGTATCGCCTCACACACTGCGGGCGTCGGCTTTTTTTTAAACTCAGTTTGAGCATGCGCATAGGCAGCCATTCACAGAATGGCAATCTTTGCGCATGCTCAAAACACCCCATATTACATTTAAACTTTAAAGGTAAGGACTTACCTTTAAAGTTTAAAGACCAAACTGGCCTCCCTGAAGTCCCGGACTCCTCCAAAACGCTACACTAAGGGCTTTTTTTTAAAAAAAACAAACGCTCAGGGCGAAACTTCGCCCAAGCGCACATCACTTAGTTAAAAAAAAATGGCGGGGGGAAATCGGAAGCCTGAAACTTCCGAACGGAAGTGGCTAGACACCAGTGGAGAGCGATCAGACGGCGGGGTTAAGCAAATGCAACCGTTGCACTCAGGATACCACCACTTGGGGACCTAGTGGCAGAGTGCAATGGTTTAAAGGGCTTTACAACGGTTAAGGAGGGAAGACAGATGTTCACCATCTGAATGCCGGTAAGTACAACAATTGCAACCGGCACAGATTCCGTTGTAAAGCCCCTGTCTGAATGCACCCTATGATTCTGATTCTATGTCGTACCACCCAATTTACCAACACGCACTGTATTTACTGAATACTCATGGAATGAAATTGGCTCTGGGATATCCCATGTGTGAAGCCAAAAGGCATTCAATGGAGTAGTCAAGTTACATGAAACTAATAGTCTAGTTAAATAAACATACAGTGGTGCTCACTGGACCACAGTTCGGTTAAAAAAATGTCCATTAAGGATTATAAATCCTCCAATTATTTCCCAGTGTAAGTTTGAATATTGGGAGGCTGTCTGGCCAAAGGAAGGCAGGTGAGGACATATGCAGAATCGTTCAAAGACATTCAAATTAAGTAACGAAGCTGGGAATCTTTGGTTTCTCATTAAAGACGGCAACAGAATGAATAAAGCATTTAAAAGAGGCATCAG